AAGGAAGGAAGGAAGGAAGGAAGGAAGGAAGGAAGGAAGGAAGGAAGGAAGGAAGGAAGGAAGGAAGGAAATTCAGGCTCCAGAGCAAATGCTTTAAAACAGGCACTGAATTTCTATTCTCAACCTTCCCAACCACACTAAACCATGTTTTGTTTGCTGTGGGAATCCAACCACTGTCACCTGAAAACCACAGTTAAGGCTCAGCACACTGTGGCATAAACAAACATTTGCAACAGAAAAACCAAGTTCATGAGTAGTCAAAAATTAACTGGTAAAAAGTTACCAAACTAATTTCTCAAATCTGAGTCTTATATGCTGCCTAGGTTCACTCATTATGCTAAACCCTAAATTGAGAGAAAATGTACCAAGAGGAGGTTTCATGGCTCAGTCTGACCCATCAAAGGCACATTCAGTCTTCAGAAAGTTATTGTGAAATGGGCCCAGATTCAATGAAGCTATTCTTTCTTTCCAAACCACATTCAGCCTAAATTGATCTTGCCTTGAGAGGAATGCAAGGTATTGAGGAACTTCTAACTCTCAGGCAGGATACACCTTAGTGAGCAGGGGGGGGGGGAAGTATTTATAAATTTATATATGGGAGGAAACTTACCCCCACTGGTCATAGCTATTAATATCCCACATAACTCCTTGAACAAAGATCTTGTGCTCATACATTGCTGGAAAGAGATTGTTTTCAGTGAAAGCAGTATTAACAATAAGTCAATATTTAAATATATTTAAGTCAAGAAACATAAAAATGGAAGAAGAAAAAAATTACCAATTAAGGCTCCAAGAATGAATGGGTTAAGTTTAGTAAAAGCAATGGAATTGGTTGGGCGGTTTCCTTCAAAGACCTTTCAAGAAAGAGACAGAGATTATATTCCAATTTTCAGATACATCTGCTAGTGATAAAGCATTACATATGAACACCCACATACAGAGAGTTCTCTGTTCAACCCCCCCACAAAACAAACAAACAAAAAAAACAAAAAACAAAAAACCAGACACCAGAAACTGCCAGCTCTTCATATCCCAAAGTCAAGAACATTTAGACTTGACTTCACAAAACATAAACCAGTTGCTCATATTCATCCCTATCCATACAGAGAAGCTTGCATTTGTCACCTCTTTGGATCAGGAAGCCACCATTTCTCATGTCACTCCTGCCCACCCATATGGATAAAAGTGGTCATCCACTGAACAAGCTCTATGATGAAGCTGAAAACTCCTTGTTCACAGCAGCAGGCTAAGTCAATCAATGTGTATATACCACACCAGTCTTGATCTCTCACCTTTTGAGACCATTCACTCCTCCATTCATTGATCACATAAATGTGCAAAAGGAAGGGTGGTAGGTGAACTTCCATTGAGATCTAGAGGAAACCCGCACCCCAAATACCTTGTGTGGAAGCAGTTTCTCCAGAGCCTCTCCACTCAGTCCAGCAGCCTGCAATTCTTTGCGGGCCTCGTCTGTTGTCTTTCCTTTCATTAATGCCTCTGTTTGAGCGAGAAAGTTGGCTAGAAGAATCTAGCAGGAAGGAATGAGAGGTCCGGATGGCAGGTTCAGCACCTGGCCTACTGAGCAGCTGCACTGAACAAACAGCATCTCCTCCGCTGAAGACCACCCCACCAACATGGAGGAGAAAACATGCCCACCTGGGACTCCAGGGCAACACAGATTAGCATATGCAAAAAGGCCAGATCTAAATCTGCTCTGACCAAGTCCAGCCTGAGGAAATTAGGAAAGCATAGAATTTTCCAAGTTCTGTAACACAAATTTATAGCTGAGTCACTTAACCTCTCTTCTCCCAGTGAATTTTAAATGCAATATTCACAGCTCTGCTTCAAAATGCCTGTACATATCTCCTTGGTTTTTCAAACCAACCAGTGCCCTGCCTCCTACCATGACTGCAGATGTGGGTGGCTCCACAAAGGCTGAAGATGAATTTTAGTCTGAGGTGAGGAAGCCCCAAAAGTGCATTACGGAAGAGTTTAAGAATTTACATGCAACCCTCTCTACTGAGCTGTCTTATCCTTTTCCCTGAAAACAGGACAAATAGACTCACCAGAAAAGATGGAAACAATTAAATATGGCAGACGCATAGAGATTTGTGTCTTTTGTTTTGTTATGCTACCGCTTTTTGGTGGGACTGAGGAGGACTGCTGTTCTGGGGCAAAGGACACATTTTAACACACAGGATGTTCTAGCTTTAGTTTCTCAGCATTTCTAGTTTAAAAAGCTAAGAAACGTCTTTCTCTGGCTAAAATTCTAGAATGCCAGTACAGACAATGGGGGATCCAAGAAAACAGGGTTATGACCTGACACCATTCAAAATGGCTTCAAGAACTCTCTTGGGACACATCAGGTCTTCATTCCACGGAACTGCATCCTGCCTTGTTTTTTGCCTTCACAGCAGCCAGACTCTTTTCAAAGTCTGCAACTTGAAATGGGTCCATTAAGATACACAAATAAGTCATTCAGTTCCACCTAGGAACCCCTTTCTCAACATTTGGCATCATTTCCTCGGAAAATAATCATGACTAAAATGGGGAAATTGCTGCAGTAGAGTCTTGTGGCAGTTGTGCAGAATTTACACTTTACAATGGCAGCAATGTTACATATTATCACTCAAAATAGTAGAAGGAAACACAGGGTTGACACAATATTTTGAGAGTGGGGGAAGAGTTATCCCGTATAAAAGAAAGAGACTCATTAACCGTTCCTTTGAAATTATTTGGGGCAGGAAGGTTGCTCTTTCAAAATTAGACAGGCACCGGACAGAGCTTAGCACAAGGTTTAATACAGTTAGGGAAAAAGTGGATTGCAAGCCATTTCACCTTGTGATGCAGGCCATTTCTGATTGGATTCTGTGTCTGGACTGGGATCAGGAAATCACAAGGGATCATGCGAGTACCTGCAAAAAGATCAAGGAAAAAGTCATTTTATAGCAGAGACAGGGAACTACTGCTGGGGTACAGATCACCTTATCCCAACTCTGGTCATGGGCCACATTGTCTACTGGTGAAGCCAACTGAATCTCAACAAGATCTGGAGGGCCATAGAGTCTGACACCACCATGATTGCTGTGCAGAGAACATCCGCACCACTAGACTGGCCATAAAGAACTTGGGACAAGTTCTGTACAGCTAAACGTGCAGCTCTGTACAGTATTTTAAATGTCTGTTAGTCTGCACTCACCCAGTGCTCCCACAAGCTATCTTGAGCAATTGAACAGATATCTGACATTGAACAATTCAAATGGCTAATATGGTTAAAAAACCCATCCCCTTTCTCCCTACCTTGGTGAATCAGCTGATAGAAAGCATGTTGGCCGTTGGTTCCAGGTTCGCCCCACACAATTGGTCCAGTATTATAGTTCACACGAGTGCCCTTTCTTGTGATGTACTTCCCGTTTGATTCCATATCCCCCTGATCAAGAGCAGAACACCATCAGACTTACTTAGGCCTTTGCACCTGTCATGAAATGGATGAGGCTCAATTCTGGCCAGAGATGGTACAAGTGCACTGGAGGCATGTGATGAGAGTCAGATGGTGTTTAGGAATACACACACCCCATTGATGCATGTGCCACCAGGTCAGATGGGGGGCTGCCCCCAAGGCTCAAGGCAGCCAAAGGCCACCCTCAGCATGTGCTGAAGCATAGCTCTCATCCCTCCTAAGTGAGTAAGGACCCCGTCCCCTAGGGAACAAAAAGGAGCCAGCCTCACCTGCTGGAAGTAAGCAGCAAAGCGGTGCATGTACTGGTCGTATGGCAGAAGTGCATGGGTTTCTGCCCCGTAGCAGTTGATGTACCAGACCCCCAACATTGCCAGCAGCACAGGGACATTCTTCTCTAGGGGGGCTGAGAGGAAGTGATTGTCCTTTTAAGCAAGCAGTATAAAAATGAAACTGGATTAATAGGACAAGCTAGAGCCCCAGAAGACCCAGTACAAAACTCTAATGGAACACCAAGATTTTTAGGGCTTCCCAAATTCAGGTCAAATGTTAGGAAAAAAAAAATTGTTTTGTGAAAGTTAAGGCAGCAGTGTTCTTGGCCAGTGGAAATTCAAACCCAGGTCCAATAGCTCAGAATCCTGTCCTGCATCACTGGCACCCATTTTTTTCTCCTTGGGGCTGCCCACCCAGACCTTTAAGAGACCAACTTACAAGCTGGTTCAAATCAAAGAAGGGATCCGATTCTGGAGGTAGTTTCGGGCAGAGAATTTCTTCCCTGGAATTTGGCCTCCCAGCAGGTTTTACCCATGAGTCCCAAGATGACAGCTAGATGCTGTACAGTCATGTGTTTTTAGCATTTTTTTCAACCTCAGGGCACTCTGGAATTATTAGAGAGAATAGGCTCTTTCTGTCCCTTTTTCTGTGCATTTTGTTGGGGGGGGTGTCTAGGAGGGAAAAAGAGACTTAACATTTTATTTTAGCTCTTTTGTAAACAAAACAAACAAACAAACAAAAGACCTGGAAAATTGCAGCAACTTCCTGCTGAATCTTAGCAGTGTAATCTGGGGGCCACATGTAGCCCACAGTCACCAATCTCCCCCAAAGCCCAGATCCCACCCTCAGTGGGAGATCAGCTGCTAAAAAGATTCAGGGACTTACCATCCAGTGGGCTCCAGCAAGCAGTTTCTCAAAATTGTCAAAACCTAATTAAAATAGTTTTATTATTAAAAACAGAATATATATTTCAAGAGTGCAGATTTTAAAGTCCAAGGCCTAATGCCTCTGAAGCATTGTTGTTCTCTTGGAATAGAACAGCATTTAAAACTGAGAAAGGAGGGATGAGGCAGTATCAAGATCCAGAAGGCCTTTCTCTGCCCCATGAGAATCACAGGCTTTAGGCTTCTGGGTGAGGACCCAACTGTAGGTTAGACGTCCCTGTGAGTGGGGACAGCACCGTGGTGAGATCAGTGGCCCGGAGATAAGGTTCTGGCTGACGAAAATCTCTCTGGAGGAAGGAGAGATCAGGGGATCGCCCACTTGCACTCTGGATAGTAGCTCCACATGAGGAGACCACAGGAATTGAGTTTCTTGTGGTCGATCATGAGCTGAGCAGCTTGGGAGCCAAGGGAATATCAACGCACCCTAAACCACTGTGCAGCCTTTATGGACATATGACCAGCAAAAACCTTACTTTCTTAAACACCTTTGGATATAATTAATTTACAACTAAAGAGGGATATTCTGAACTGCAGGGAAAAACAAAGACTCTCGGTGAATTGCCTTCTTTTTGGAATGAAGAAGAGGAAAAAAATGCTATCCTAAAGGATTTTAATTTAAAAGCAAAAAGCTTAACAAAATTGTGAGAAAAGTTTTAAGATGTGTTCTTTCTTTTAAGATGAAAGAAAGTTTTAAACAGATAAAGGGGACAAGCAGAAGAATCATTTTTTTTTCTGATGAAAGTGCCTTTGAAAATAGTAAAATTAGACAAACAGACCGGACCTTCATGGGAATGTTGATTGTTTATTATTAAGGAAAGGAGATAATTGGTGAATTTTACAAAATTAGGGTAATATGAACCAGACTGTGTGACTGTAACTACAGAGAGCTAATTAGGACTATTAAAGACAGAAAAAAGCAAAGCAGAAAAAAAAAAGAGAAGCCTGCCTTTTACTTTTATTCTAGTAATTGACATACTTTCACTTTCTCATAATGGCAACCACAAGAAAAGCTACAAGATTAGGAGAAGAAAGTAGAGTTTCATTAGAACAACTTATAGATACGGGCATTTCACCAAATTTATTGCAGAAAATGTTTGAGGAATTTGGCAAGAAAGTGACCGCAACGGTTGTCAATAGTTTGGATGCTTTTAAAAAGGAAATGGAAGAAAGATTTGCAGGAATGAAAAAGGACATGAAGAAATTAAGAAGACTAAAGAATCTGTAAGACAATTGGCTGGAGATCTAAAGCAAATTACTGATAAAGTGGAAGTTCTGGAAAATAAGACAGAAGTTATAAACAGAGATGGAGAAAGATTGGTATAACTTGGCATTACTGGGATTGAGAGAAACAGAATTTTAAGATCGAGAGCAGGGGTCGGGAACCTATGGCTCGCGAGCCA